ATCTTAGGAGGAAAGCATTTGGCTTTCGGCGTTAGATATGATTTAACTGTGGGTTTTTAGTAAATACCCTTTATCAGATTGAAGAAATTACCTTAATTCTTAGTTTGCTGAGAGTTTTTATCTTGAATGTGTGTTAAATTTTGTCAAATACTCATACACCTATTGAAGTGATCATGTAGTTCTTTTTAGTTGGTTAATATGATGAATTCCGTTAATTTTCAAATGTTAAGCCAAACTTCTATTCCTTGGATAACACCCACTCGATCATGATGTATTTCCTCTTTACATACTCTTGTATTATATTTGCTAAAATTGTTAAGAATGTTTGCATCTATGTTTGAGAGCAATTAATCTGAAACTTTCTTTTCTTGTTATGTCTTCGTCTGGTTTTCATATCTGAGTAATGCTGCCCACATAGAGTAAGTTGTAAAGAATTCCCAACTTCAATTTTCTGGAAAAGGCTATATAGAATTAGTAATCTTTAATCCTTAAATATTTGGTAAAATTTTTTTTTTAAAGATTTTATTTATTTGACAGAGAGAGACACAGTGAGAGAGGGAACACAAGCAGGGGAAGTGAGAGAGGCAGAAGCAGGCTTCCCGCGGAGCAGGGAGCCCGATGCGGGGCTCGATCCCAGGACCCCAGGATCACGACCTGAGCCGAAGGCAGACGCTTAACGACTGAGCCACCCAGGTGCCCCAATATTTGGTAAAATTTACAGTGCAGCCATTTGGGCCTGGAATTTTCTTTGTGGGAAAGTTATTATGTACAAATTAGTTTCTTTAATTGATATATGGGATAATAGTATACAATACAGTAATCAGGTTATCTGTTTATTATTGAATGAGCTTAAGTTTTTGTATTTCAAGAAAATTTATTTCCGTCTAAGTTGTAAAATTCATTGGCATGAAGTTATTTATAACATTCCCTTATTATCCATTTAATATCTGTAGAATATGTAGTGATGTCATCACTCTCATTCCTAACATTGATTATTTGTGTGTTCTCTTTCTATCCTTTGCTGATCAGTCTAGCTGTTACCAATTTACTGGTCTTCTCAAAAAACCAGTGTTTTGTTTTATTCATTTTCTCTATTGCATTTCTGTTCTCTATTTCTGCTCTGGTCTTTACTATTTCCTTTTTCTTATTTATTTTATTTGCCCTTCTTTCTCTGGTTCCTTAAGGTGAAAACTGGGGTCACTTATTTGTGATCTTTCTTTTCTGATATAGGCATTTGGTGCTATAAATTTCCCTCTATGTACTGTTTTAGCTGAATCCCACAAATATTGTTGTGTTTTCTTTTCATTTAGTTAAAAGTACTTTGATTCCTTTATTTTTTTTTTCTTTGACCCATGGATTATTTAGATATGTATTATATAACTTTGCAATTTTTGGAGATTTCCCAGATATCTGTTATTGATCTCTAATTTAATTCCATTGTGGTCAGAGGACATCATGATCTGAATCATCTTAAAAGTACTGAGACGGGCGCCTGGGTGGCTCAGTTGGTTAAGCGACTGCCTTCGGCTCAGGTCATGATCCCGGAGTCCGGGGATCGAGTCCCACATCAGGCTCCCTGTTCGGCGGGGAATCTGCTTCTCCCTCTAACCCTACCCCCTCTTGCGCTCTCTCTCTCTAATAAATAAATTTTTAAAAAAAGTACTGAGACTTGTTTTGTGACCTAGAATATGGTCAGTCTTAGTAAATGTTACCTGTGCATTTAAAAAAAAAAAGAATGGGTATTCGATTATCGGGTTGAGTGTCCTATAAATGTCAATTACACAAAGTTGGTTAATAGTTGTTCAAGTCTTCTAGAGCCTCACTGACTTTGGGCCTACATAACACTTTGGTCAAGGGAGGCCCCTGGGTCATTAACTCTGACCCAAGCCTGCAACATCTGAGAAGTATCTGGGGCATGAAGCAAGAGCTATCAATGTAAGTCCAAGGATTCTATCAGCTTCTAAGTATATCTATCCCAATTATGTATATTTAGTTACTTCACAAATAAAGAGTGGGGCCACACCCATTATACCCACTGGGATGGACTTTGGTCCATTTATCACTGGGCTTGCATAAAACCAGAGGACCACAATTGTGTTTTGGGTCCTTTGGGATCCATATTAGCTCAGACCTTATATCCAGAAGTCCTTGGTTGCAAAATCTGAGTATTCTTCTTTCTCCACTGCATAGTTACCCTGGTAAATGGCTGCTCCTTTGGAGAAGGATCAAGGTGATGTTTATCATATACACTTGAGGACCCTTCCTCAAGGGATTCTGAGCTTTCCCTTCCATCAGTGCCTGAGATCTGAAAACTAGTTGCTAGGAGTTATACAAGTGGATATACAAGTCAAGTAGCATCCTAATCAGCTGTCCTTCTGTCTTGCCCTTTGGAACATCATGATCTTAAACTCCTTCACAGATCCATGCCTTGGTACCCATTAATTATGTTCACTGGGCATCTCACAGTTAGGTTCCACAACGTGGCCTTCCACCTTTCTGCATCCCATCATCTACACTGATATCAAAGAGCCCAGGATCATGGCAGCATCTGCTACCATCAATTCGAGCCTGTAGAGGTCAGCCACAGGCACGCTTCTCAAAGTTGCCAGTTCACTCTTCACCATTACATTGTTTATTGCCTTACTTATGTCATCTGAGCCTTCCCAGGAAAAACACTCAAGTGGTAGCTTCTCAGGTTTCAAACAACAAATCCACTCTAACACTGCAACTTCCCTGAGCTTTATGACCCCTTCTTCAATACCATGCCAAATAAATTCTAGCATTTCCACCATATCTTCTAGATGCCATCCTAGTAGTATGTTAGGACCAAATCCAGATATCTAAGGTATTAAAACCCAAGTCAGGAGTTTAAGTGCTACCATATTACTCTCTCCTATCAGGCCTTATATTCCATCCCCCTCCAACACCCTTGAGACCTACTCCCATGCATGTTTCCTGGGTTCCTGCCAATACATTTTGACCAGAACCTGCAGTTCATTCAGACTGTAACTTATCCTCCTATAGAAAGGACTGTATTTCCCCACTTAGGGTATGCTGAGACCGGATCCCAGTCTTCGGTATGGAGTTAAGGAGAGGTAGCAGGGGTGAGTCTTGAGGAGGACAAGTATCATCTTACAATGCAAGTGCCCCAGATAAATTCTTTGCAGGGTCTCCAAGCAAGTGAAGGCTGCTCTCCATCAGTGAAGTGAAGGAGGGGAGACCATTTCTGTGGCTCAGAGCATCAAGGAAACATGAGGGTTCAAGATTCTGAGGCTCACCGACACAAATGTTCCCATCCTATGATTCAACATTACAGTCTTTTCCTGTCAGCACGCTGACTGTTGGAAGAGATAATCGAGGCTGCGTCTTCAATTTCCTTTGCACCCTTGCCACCTTTACTATTTGGACTGGACTGTCAGCACATATTGCCAGCATTGACGAGGCAATTTTCCTTAAAAGGTGCTATAGAGGCAGTCTGGCTTTCACAGCATGGCTGGACCTAAACAGCTAACAGGAACCTATGTCATTTTCTTTTTTCAAGGTTGTTAAAGCAGTTAACAATAACTAACCAACACTTTCATCTTTATAATTTCCATTAGTCCCATTCCACCGTAATGCCACAGCTACTATATAATCTAATACTTCACCTTCCGCCCGCACTCTACCCAAATCCAGTACAGTAACCGTGACCCATCCACATGACAGGAGTTATCACTATGCCATTTACCACTAGCTGTGGTCTTTATTGTCATCTGTCCAGTGAATGATCCAGTCACAGAATCGCATCCAGAGGGTTTGCTTCCTAAGGCCATTCCTGGTACCCATCTTGGCCTGGGTTTACCCACCACCCAAAAGCAAAGCCTAAGACAAATACTCACATACAGGTATTTATTTGAGAAGTAATCTGAGAGAACCTGAGGGATCAGAAAGGGAGAAATTAGTGAAAGCTAACGTGGTAAGAATGTATTACAAAGTTGGCCACTGCTATGGGTGACTGGTACTCAATCCCAGGGGATTTTCTGAGGAAACTTATGAAAGGCATCTCAGAATTCTCCTCCTAGCAGATGGGAGAGAGAGCATTTACCCATAAGTCAAGGGTGGTCCCAAGGTCATTAACTCCCCCATATCTTTCATACATCTGTGATGCAGAAAGGCTGCAGTAGGCATCCCAAGCCACACCGTCAGAGGATCCCTGGAGAAAAAAAAGCAAGGGAATCATGAAATGTTCTCAAGATGAAATGCCATCAAATGGCTTCCATGAGAAGCTGTCAGAAGCCTGCCTGGGGCTTTCCCTCTCCCACAATACCTCGCACTCTTCCTTTCCAACCAGGGCCCGGCAGAATGGCTCCCGCAAAGAAGGGTGGCGATAAGAAGGGCCGTTCTGCCATCAACGAGGTAGTGACCAGAGAATACACCATCAACACTCACAAGCGCATCCATGGAGTGGGTTTCAAGAAGCGTGCCCCTCGGGCACTCGAAGAGATCCGGAAATTTGCCATGAAGGAGATGGGAACTCCAGATGTGCACTTTGACACCAGGCTCAACAAAGCTGTCTGGGCCAAAGGAATAAGGAATGTTCCATACCGTATCTGTGTGCGGTTGTCCAGAAAACGTAACGAGGATCAAGATTCACCACTGGTTACCTACGTACCTGTCACCACTTTCTACACACTGGTTACCTACGTACCTGTCACCACTTTCAAAAATCTAGACAGTTAATGTGGATGAGAACTAATCACTGATTGTCAAATAAAGGTATAAAACTGAAAAAAAAAAGAAGCCTGCCTGGAAGTGTTTCACAGCAGTCCTGGAGTAAGAGGTGGGCCAAGAGGTGGCACACAAGAAGTTCAATACAGTTACATACAATGCATAATCAACAAAACAACTTAAAAATCAGTAGACACCACTAGAAAATGATTATATAATTTTTAAATACAGTTTTTTATTTAAAAACATAAATCAAGATTACAACATTTAAAAAATAAAAAATAGGGATTTTAACTTACTATTTTTAAACAACGCTCCTTATATATTTGTTCAAAACCCAAAATAACATACTTAATTTTTTAAATACCCTCAAAAAGTTAAATTATGACAGACTAAAAACAGTTACTGTATTTTCAGGTTTTGACTAATATGAAAATAACCTCATTTGTTAGGAGAGATAAAAAGTATATACAAAATATTAAATCATGAACTTTGATAAAAGTAACCAAGTATTTTCACTTGTTTAAATAAATTAAGGAAAAAACCAAAATGACATTTTTACATAGTAAAAGAAGGAAATAATTTGAGAGAAAGTAAACTGCATTATATTTAAATAAACACAAACAAGACCTATTTGGATTATGGTTTTAATTTTCCCAATAGTCTTCATGAAGGTTTTGTACTTGATGGCAATGATGCTTTTCCTTTCTGCTTAGCGACCTTTTCCATTTTTATCTGTAAAATTAAAATATTTGTTGATAAAATAATTTGTAAAACATTCTAAAGAAAAAAAGGTTGTACACACCTTATTTGATTCATGTCTCATTCATCACAGCCATTTCATACACTTATTTAACAGTGATTAAGCTTCCAAAATCTAAAGCAAAATCTAATAGTCGAAGGGACCAAATTGCATTTTTAAAATATGGTATGATTTCAACTTTACAGAAACATTTTAATAAAAATAACATATAGGGAATATTGTTTTGGAGAAAATTAATAAGTTAACTTAAATGCCACTAAAAAAATTGTTTTATGAAAGCCTAAATATGTAACCTTAATCCAGTCTATGCACATTCCCTAAAGAACACACCTAATGCAGCTGGATAATCTCTGGAACATGGACTGCTTTAAGGATAGTTTCCTATAATTCTGGTTTTTACATTTCCACAGTTACTTCCCTGAAGGTTGCCCTCCAGTGTAACTGAAGCAAAGAAGCAGCTTACATACCCTAAGTAGCGGCCTTCTGACCTTTAGAAACATTGAAATCCTTTCTATGGGAAAAAAGACCGCAGAGAACACAAAGCCCACTTGCCTCTTACAATTCCCAGAGGCAGCACCCACTGCCTTATCCCTGTAAGAGAAAGGGACAGAAAGTATGGGGCATGGTAGGTGGAGGGCCTCCTACCTTCTAAGGTGATAGGAATAATATCAAGAAACCAGAGGGGACCTAGTAAAACCAGTCTATCCAATCTCCTCAAATTGTAAATAATAACTTCCCAATAATAAAATGTATATATCTCACCTCCCTCTCATCCCCATTTTTCCCCCTCTCTCTCCTCTCTGAGTTGGTTGGGACCCTCATTCAAAAACCCTACATTCATATCACTCTTTTATACTATATTAGTCAAAAGGTCATCTGAAGGACCCCCAAAGGAATACCCTATATACTAAGGCAAAGATTATAGGCTTTGGACTCACCAACAGTTTTCTCATTTGGAAAAAAAAAAAAAAAAGGCCACAGTAATAGGTACTTCTCAGGATTGTTCTAAAAGTATAAATGAGGGGCGCCTGGGTGGCTCAGTCGTTAAGCGTCTGCCTTCGGCTCAGGTCATGATCCCAGGGTCCTGGGATCGAGCCCCGCATCAGGGTCCCTGCTCAGTGGGAAGCCTGCTTCTCCCTCTCACACTCCCCAGTGCTTGTGTTCCCTCTCTCTGTCAAATAAATAAATAAAATCTAAAAAAGAGAGAGAGACAAGATGCTAAACAACCAAACAAAGCTAAAGCAGGGCTTCCTCACTTGAAATAGTACTTAGCAATACATGCATCTAATCTAGTGTCTGAAGAGCAAAGATACCTCCTCCTGCTCCTTTGTTTCTTTTTCAATTTCCTGGCACTAACAGCAATAGCACCTTGCACCTACTTCACATTTGATAATTGTTTCCTTAATAAAATCGTCCTTTCTTAGAGATAAGAGAACAAGGGTCATTCACAATGGAAGAAAATAACTTGACCTAATATATAAAAGAAGCAATGAAGCAACTCTTCAGTAATACCTAAAAGTAATTAGTAAACTATGTTACCACAAAGGCTTCAATCATCAAAGCCAACTCACACTTATAGTAGATTTTCCCCACACTAAATGTTACCATTCTACCAGGATGCAAGCAAAACGAGATACAGACATCGCACTGCTTTCTAAAGGGGCCGTGTCCCATCATCAGATTCAGGTTCCTAATTATCCCTTTTCCCTCAACGGTGCATATCTTGTTTTTTCTGGAGTAAAATTCAAGTACTAACAACACATATAGTACATGTCTGCTTAGAGGAAGTTGTTTAGGTTTGAGCTTCTTTGTTTTTTTTTTTTTTAAGATTTTATTTATTTATTTGAGAGAGAGAGAATGAGAGAGAGCACATGAGAGGGGGGAGGGTCAGAGGGAGAAGCAGACTCCCTGCCGAGCAGGGAGCCCGATGAGGGACTCGATCCCGGGACTCCAGGATCATGACCTGAGCCGAAGGCAGTCGCTTAACCAACTGAGCCACCCAGGCGCCCGAGCTTCTTAGTTTTTGTATGCCATTAATCACACAGGCTGGAAAGTTTTTAAGCTGTGTCTCATAAATCCATAAATCACACAGGCTGGAGAGTTATAAACGACATCTTGTAAACCCATAAATTCTAGGTCTATTTAAAATAAGCAGTCTGGATTGGCCAGGTATATCCTCTAAAACAATCCCTCCCCCCATTATCTTCCCACAAGCAAATACCACTGGCATGTTTTCAAGACAGTCAGCACGACCCAGGCTTCTGGAGGAGGGAAGGAAGGAGTTCTAGTACACTGTCCCTCATAAGCCTAAGAAGGAGAAACTAATTCAGCTGTGAACTCGTGTATTCCAAGAATGGAGACTGATGTGATTAAAAGTCTAGCCTTAATGATGCTATAAAAAGAGCATTCTCTTTCCTCACCCTGGCCATTTCATCTCCCTCCCTGAGATCCTACTATCTCCTCTTTCTCTTAGATGAGAGCTCTCCAGTACGGTAGCCACCAGCCACATGTGGCCTACTGAGCACCTGAAATGTGGCTGGTGTGACTGAGGAAAATAATTTTAAGTTTTAATTTATTTAAATTTAGACTTATCCAGCCACACATGATGAATATCTGCAACACAGGTATAGAACATTTTCATCACTGCAAAAAGTTCTATTTCTAGCTCTGCCTTAAATCATATCCAGGACTCTCCCCCTCTACTTCAAAATTCCTCATCAGGGAAACCAAACTGATCTCTCTGTCCCCTACTCCCTTCTCTTCCTCTTGGAAGGTGAATTTATTTAATGGTCTCCTTTCTCCACACCTTCGGCTACTCAACAAGCTACAACAAAAAGTGACAAGAGTGTCTTTACTTTCATGGCACTGATTACCCAGTTGGAGAGATAATAAACACCCACAGAGCAACTATAAAATAATCCTAAGGAAAGCACTTTGAGGAACGTACCATATGGCTGGATACCATCCCCCATACCTCATCAAACCAACATACTTTCATCTGGCAACAAACAAAAACAAAACTCTCAAATATGAACACTGCCATGAAACACATCAAATGTCTAACCATATGACATGTATGAAAGTGAGTATCAATTAATACGTGTTTCCTTTTTCAATTCTCCATGAATATTTATTGAAAACTTATTACGTACAAGGCACTGTAGTTGTTCTGGGGAAAATATAAAGAAGAATAAAATACTGTTTATCCCTAAGGAGTTTATAGTGTGGTAGAGAATGATGCAAATTATCACTACTGAAAGCTGGGAACACATCAATACTACAGTTGTTGAACCCTGGGAATTGCTTAAATACATTTATATTTAGTGTTCAGTTTCTTAAAGGCTAATGGGTAATTTAACTTGAGTCTAGATATACCTTGAATGCACTGAGAAGAAGAAATATTACATATTAAGAATTCAAGATACAGGGCGCCTGGGTGGCTCAGTTGGTTAAGCCACTGCCTTCGGCTCAGGTCATGATCCTGGAGTCCCGGGATCGAGTCCCGCATCGGGCTCCCTGCTCAGCGGGGAGTCTGCTTCTCCCTCTGGCCCTCCCCTCTCTCATGCTCTCTCTCTCTCAAATAAATAAATAAAATCTTAAAAAAAAAAAAAAGAATTCAAGATACAGGGGCACCTGGGTGGCTCAGTCAATTGAGTGTCCAACAAGAGTTGATTTCAGCTGTGGTCATGATCTCAAGGTCTGAGATCTAGCCCCACGTCAGACCCCTCACTCAGCGGGGCCTCTGATTCTCTCCCTGTCCCTCTGTCCCTCCCCCCACTTGTGCATGCATGCTCTCTCTCTAAAATAAATAAATAAATCTTAAAAAAAAAAGAATTCAACGTACATATAATTACAAATCTGCTGATAGCTGGTGTTTATTGTTGATAATTTTATCTATATATTTAGTCAATCCTTATGATCTTCATAAATTAACTAGTATATTATATATCATATTATTCATTCATCCTATTTCTCTCTGAATCATTGTAAGTCTCAAGGCCTAACACCAGCTACAAGTAAAGACTCTATAAATTATTTTTTTTTAAGATTTTATTTATTTATTTGACAGAGAGCGAGACAGCGAGAGAGGGAACACAAGCACGGGGAGTGGGAGAGGGAGAAGCAGGCTTCCCACGCAGCAAGGAACCCCTATGCAGGGCTCGATCCCAGGACCCTGGGATCATGACCTGAGCCGAAGGCAGATGCTTAACGACTGAGGCACCCTTATAAATTATTATTAATGATGATCCACAATCAATATGTAATTCTACTGTGTCTTTGTCACAAGTTAAATGCTTAATATAAGCAGATTTCACCATAGACTTACCCTTTCTTGGTATCGTCTTTCAAAGAAAGCCATATCATCCTCTTCAGGTCTCTTTAAGGAAGAAACTTGACTGCTTGTACCTACTAATAAGGAAAAAAAAAAATTCTAAGTAATATATTTATGGAATTACAAATTCTGCTGAAATTGAAAAAAAAAAAAAAACAGAAAGATAACTTTCCTCTTACCAGTGATTTATTTTTCAAACCAGAATGGTCTAAATGGTAATTGATCCTACTACCTAATTCCCTTGGGGGGAGGGGAAAAGGGACAGGGAGAGAGAGAATCTCAAGCAGACTCTCCTCTGAGCCCGGAGCCTGACATGGGCCTTGATCCCAAGACCCTGAGATCATGACCTGAGCCAAAATCAAGAGTCGGACACTTAACCAGCTGAGCCACCCAGGCGCCCCTACCTAATTCTTTAGAAAGCAGAGCATTGCAAGACAAAGTAACTTTTATTGGCAAACATTCTCCTAATGTGCAACTGGTGCATATTAAATAACAACATATAGCTATTTCACACAAGAGCCCACTTAGCTTTGTTCAACTATATTTTAAATTTTATAACAAAACTAGAAATTCACATAACACCATAACAGATAATGCACAAAAGTAATTACAGAAGACTTGTGCCATGGTCTGAATGTGTTCCCCTCAAATTCATATGTTGAAATCCCAATGCCCAATGTGATGGTGTTAGGAGGTGAGGTCTTGGGAGGTGCTTAAGTTATAAGGGTGGAGTCCTCATGAATGGGACTAGTGCTCTTATAAAAGCGACGCCACAGAGATCCCTCAGCTCTTCCACTATATGAGGACATAATGAGAAGGGGCCAGCTGTGGATCAGGAAGAGGGCCTTCACCAGAATACAACCATGGTGGCACTCTGATCTCGGACTTCCAGCCTCCGGAACTGTGAGAAATAAATTTCAGTTGTGTATACGCTACTCAGTCTATGGTATTTTCTTAGAGCACCTGACTGGACTATGGCAGTTTGTATAAGCAACCAAGATACTACCTGCTTTGAAATTTTTCAAAACTAACTTTAGTCATTTTCCATGGTATTCACTTTTTAAAAACTAAAACAAGCACTAGTTTAAGTTGTGAAAGGAATTTAAAATTGCTTCAGGAAAGAAAATCAAGTTTTCTTTGTAGGTGCACTAAGAGCCCAGTTCCATGGAAAAGTTCACCTTCATTTCAGGTGAATGTGTTGGTTGGGTCCCTTCATATCCAAAACAGAGTATCAACTTGAACACACGTTCTGGTTTTTAAAGTATATAAATTCACCCTCAACCAGCAACACAAAAATCATATCACTCCAGACAATCACCACAGAGTATAACCACACTCTGTCAACTATCTAACAAAAGCCTTGTTGAGAAAAATACGAAAAAATGCTTAGAATATGTGCTATCTATTCATCTCAAAACTCTGGGTCTTTTCCCTGAATCATGTTGGATCATTTGAGCTAAGCTGCTTATAGAATCACCTTCGTTGAGTTGCATTTTAATGGTATATTACCATTTATCTGGTAAAGTGGTATTTTACCATTTTTATCAAAGTGACTATCAGAAATAAGCAACCACGGGCGCCTGGGTGGCTCAGTTGGTTAAGCGACTGCCTTCGGCTCAGGTCATGATCCTGGAGTCCCTGGATCGAGTCCCGCATCAGGCTCCCTGCTCGGCAGGGAGTCTGCTTCTCCCTCTGACCCTCCTCCTTCTCATGCTCTCTGTCTCTCATTCTCTCTGTCTCAAATAAATAAATAAAATCTTTAAAAAAAAATTTAAAAAAAATAAAAAGAAATAAAAAGAAATAAGCAACCACATGCTGCATTTGCTGAAAAAAAGGTTTTTTTAAAATAGAGAAGATTTTACATAGAAAATCACAGCATTTATTCAAGTTAATTCATTTCATTCAATAATCTGCCATATTGTTACAGTCACTGTTAATATTACTGTCATTGCTATTTCTCTTCGAGAGGACCATGCTTTTAAAAAATTTGGGTTGGATTTCCATGATGTTTAACTCTATGACTAAAAACCTTTCCCCTTGGGTGCCTGGGTGACTCAGTTGGTTAAGCAACTGCCTTCGGCTCAGGTCATGATCCTGGAGTCCCGGGATCGAGTCCCACGTCGGGCTCCCTGCTCAGCAGGGAGTCTGCCTCTCTCTCTGACCCTCCCCCCTCTCATGCTCTCTATCTCATTCTCTCTCTCAAATAAATAAATAAAATCTTTAAAAAAAAAAATCTTTTCCCTTACTAAAAGGCAACCCCTTCATCACAAGAGAAACAGGAAAAACTGAGATTTAGTTGTAGAAAGTGATCTCCACCAGAAAGAATTCATAGTCCATAATGTTTCAGGGTTGTACTTTTACTTAGGGCCTCTTTCTGGGGGGAGGAGTTATCGCTCATAGATGTTTGCTTAAAACAGAGAACATGCCCTACTGCATCAAAGAAGGAAAATAAGGTCTAGTTCCTAGAGAACAGGCACATGATCTTCCAAAGGAACCCTAATGGTTCCTAGGTGAGAGAGTCATTCTGCCAAGGTCAGGGGACAGAGTCAGTGACCCTCCTGCCCTGATCAGTCAGCAGTAAAAAGGTCTAACCAGGTGAATGGGACAGGTAGTAAGTAGCTTCCAGTTAGAATCTCTAGCTCAGGAATGTCTGTGTTTGAGTAAGCTGGAGCTGGAGGGAGAGAATACAGAGTCTGGAGAAAGTGACTAAGAATTGGCAAGTGTCAAAAAGATACAGGTTTCCTCCAGGGGACCCACAGAAAGGGGGCACCACCAGTCAAGGGTGGCCCTGTGCTTTTCTTTGAGAAGAGAATACACTGAGTGGGTTCTGCAGTTTTCATAGAACAAGTGGAATGATACTGAACAGTGGAAAGTTAATTCAGAGTTTCTGTCCATGGTTCAGAAAACACTGATAGAACACCTGTGTACAAGGCAAAGGGACAGTGCTGAAAAAAAATCAAGCTGTCTAAGATGTGATCTTGACCAGAAGGAGCCATCTAGCAGTGGCCATCAGACCCCTGCACACCATGGAGTGCTGTGTCCTCGGGGCCACTTGGGAGGGAAGGATGGCTTTCTGGCTGGCACGATCAGGGAAGGCATTCTTGATCCTCTCCTCTTGGTACTCAGCATGTCCTCTGTGCCTCTAGGTTACTGCTTAGCCTGGCCCAGTCCAGGCACTTGCTTATCTTCCTTATCTTTCTTGGTGTGTGAAAATGGAAGTCTGAGAGGATAAGATCCTGCCTCACAGGTGCCTAATGTGTGTGGAATTGATGTGTCCTGGGAGTGTCATTCCGTCTTGGTTCAGAAAGGTGGAAAAAATTGGGGGAAAGGAGAGCTAAGATGGGGTGGTAAGGGTATGGTGTTTTAGTCAGAAGGTGGGAGCAAAGTTACACCAACAAGCAGTTTTAGTACACGGTTTAATCCAGATGATAGAAAGAGCACCAACACTACCTCAAGAAGGTAGGTGGAAGGGGTGCCTGGTAGCTCAGTCATTAAGCGTCTGCCTTTGGCTCAGGTCATGATCACTGGGTCCTGGGATCGAGCCCCGCATCGGGCTCCCTGCTCCACGGGAAGCCTGCTTCTCCCTCTCCCACTCCCCCTGCTTGTGTTCCCTCTCTCGCTGTGTCTCTGTCAAATAAATAAATAAAATCCTAAAAAGAAAAAGGAAGGTAGCTGGAAGCCCTCGGCCAAACAGGTGAGTCTGCAGAATTGGGAAGCTTAAGTCTTTCCCTATTATCTAGTCAAGCTCAACCAGGGCGTATGAAAAAATAATGAATAACTAGAGGGTCTTCACTTTCTGAAATTAGAAAGATCAAGTAAACTCAGCAGCCCCCAGCAGCCCCCTCCCCCACCCCCAAACAGTGAAGTTGAATGTCAAAAACATACAGAAAGCTTTTGGATATCTTCTTTAAGTGTGTCTTTGGCGTTTTGGTCTATAAGCAATCAAGATGGAGAGAGATACTATCCCAAAGAAAAAAGCTTGTAGGAACCACAGTAGTTGAGCCTGACCATCCACGATGCCTTTAGACTTACACAAAACCATGGTTACAAGGATTCTCCCACGTGAATCAGCCAGGCAAGCCAGTGGCCACTGTGTAGGAGGGTGTGATATGGTCCACCAAGTCCTGAGTGAAGAGGCCCAGGGGCCCCAGGCTCTGATAAGGGATACTCTGAGGCCAGAAGACAACCCACAAGAAATAGCCCAGCGCCAGGACAGTGACTAGAGAGAGCAAACGTCTGGCCGGACAGAAATAGGCGGAAGAAGCCTCGGACTTCATCTTCACCATCTTGAAAGATCTACACACTGAGCCTTGGGATGGGGAACCGTCTCTATCCCGCCCCCGCCCCACACCAAGAAGGCCTGGGTAACCGGTTTCTCAGGACCGCAGGGCAGACAAGTGTGCCTGTCTTCTTCTGAAAAAAAGTTCTGACGGACCATGTCTGCCTCAGACCTCATCAGCAGCAATTACATCAACCTTGAAAGTTGACACAACTGTGTCCTTTTTCTTGGTTTTGCTTTCTCCTATCTATATTTTAACATTACTTTGTTGGGTGTTTGTGTAAGCAGCCCTAAAGTCCCTTGTGGATAAAATCAGGGTACATGAAAAGGTTGCACGAAAATACTAATAAAAAGAAAATCCTCATTTAAAAGTATTTGTAAATATTAAATACCTAATGCACCATAAAAACTACTTCTTCAATGTTTTTTTCTTATTTTAATAAAGGAAATGGAATACTAGTGCTTAAAAATGAATAAAATTCAGATATATGTGTAATGCATATGTACAATTTACATGTATATGTATAATTTATAAATGACAAAACCTTTCTAACCTAAACTTATCACCGGATTACATCCTGCTTTTGGGAGAGTCACTAGAGGACTCTCTTATTCAGACATCAAAGTAATAACGTGTAAGGTTTTAAAACTTCAAATTATTGTATTATTAGAACCTCATAATTCTCAGATTTAGCAATTTTCAAAAAAAAAGCTTCTTGCTTTTTCTCAGCCCAAGGCCAATATAAAAATAAAATGATAACCAAACTGTGGTAATACTGAGGAAAAAAAGATCTAGAAAATGAACAATCTACATTCTTATTTACTACATCCAAAAATATTTGTCAGTTTAATTTCATTACCATCTGTCAGTGTTTCTGGAGAAGAACTAGATGATGCTTGAAATGCTTTTAGAAATGGGTGGTCCATGGCTGTAACTGGAGAGTCTAAAAATTCAATTGAAGGTGCACCTAAGAACAAAATATATGAAGAATGAAAATTAAATCTCCATTTGTTGGGATACAAAAAAAAGTTATTTCAATGCAAAATAAATTAGAACCTCAGAAGAATAATTAGAAAAACCTTTCTATAAAAAAGAAATTTTTATTTAGATTTTATCTGCCATATAAAGTAAAGGGAATTAGGTAAAAGTATGTTTGTATTTCTCAGAGAGATTTTTCACAGAAAAAAAAGTTATGCATGAATGTAACTATGGCAAAGAGGTACAAAACCTTAATATAGTCACAAAAATATTATCAAAAGCAAGACATTCATGACAAAGAACCTATAGTTGAAGAGGGCAGAGTAACTGTATTTTTTACTCTGTTCCTCACTGGGAAATCATCTCAAAACAAAGTCTGAAAAATAAAGAAATACTCAGTGAAATGAGGAAATATCCACAACCCCACACCACAAAATTACAAAGACCAATTGCTAAATACACTGACTTTTAGACCAAAAGGAAGGAAGCTATGGAGAAAATTTATAAGTGCTCTATCTTCTTCACAAACCACCACCTCCCCTACATCCCTCTCCCATAGAGCGGATAGAGGGAAGGAAATAAACTTTTAAATCCTATTTGGTTTTTAAAATGAGTCCTTCCTTATAACCTAAACAGTGTGGGACAATTGCTCATTCTTTCAGTTTCCTGCCCCCTCCTTCCCCAGCTCCTCTCTGGTGTGGCTGGACGGAATATAAGAGAAGGCGCTCGGGGCCACCGAGGTCCTTGTGCTATCCTCTGGTTGCTGCATGCACTGCTGATCTCAAACGCTCAAGGCTGCTAAGTGGTGATTTAGTCTCGCAGCTTGGTAGGGCCTCACACTTGTTCTCACTGCAAGTACGGACCCCTTAATACCTGCCACTTCCTCTACGAATCCCCCAGAGCTCAGAGGACCCACCTCTAGCTCTGCTCGGGATCCCCTTGCTATGACAAAAGTCATGGCAGGTCCACTGCCTAACAGCTCAGCTGCCTTCCAACCACCCACCCACTAGGAGCTGAGCATTATGGACTCCTTCTGCATCATAAAGGAACCAAATCAGCAAGTTGTCACCTCTGTCCAGGACTCTACATGGCTGACAGAACAGATGTCCCTCTGCCCCAGGCTCCCCTACAGCAGAAATCAAGACAAAGACATCTTGTTTCCTCTCCTCACTCTCACCTTCCCTCACCCCACCTTCCTTCAGGGGCCAAAAGCGGGAGGTTTTCTCTCTTTGTTATAAAGATGCCTAAGTGATAAAATACTAGAAGGCACAAAAAGGCAAAGACGTGAGCTATCCCCACTATTACTTAGCACTGTTCTGCAAGTACGAGCCCTGGTAATTAGTCAAGCATAAGAGCCAGAAATACTGGAAAAGGCAAAAATATCGTGATTTACAACATCAACCAAACATTTATTTTAAACTCTAAGATTAAGAAATAAAGGACTAGTAACAAAAACAGCATAAAACATTGGGTTTTTTTATAAACAAATAATAATCAGCTAGAAAATATAAAGGAAGGAAAAACCCTACGTATCATAGCTATAAAAAAATGAAATACCCACAAATAAAATTAAGAAAATTAAGAAATAGACTGAGGACTTCCATGAAGATAACTTCAGAATTCCACTCAGCTACACAGAAGACAAATGCAGAGACTCAACATTTTAAAATATCAATTCTTCCTACATTAATCTATACATTCAACATGATATCAACTAAATAATAGAATGTTCTTGTAAAAATAGAATGTTTTGTAATAATAAAATGTTGTCAAAAAATAATGCCAAAGTTCTGAAAAAATTAGTAAGAATAAGGAAAATTCTTTTTTTTTTTTTAAAGATTTTATTTATTTATTTGAGAGAGAGAATGAGATAGAGCATGAGAGGGGGGAGGGTCAGAGGGAGAAGCAGACTCCCTGCCGAGCAGGGAGCCCGATGCGGGACTCGATCCCGGGACTCCAGGATCACGACCTGAGCCGAAGGCAGTCGCTTAACCAACTGAGCCACCCAGGCGCCCAAATAAGGAAAATTCTTAAGTAATGCAATGAACTTATAAATATTAATTTATTATAAAGTTTAGTATTGAAAACAGCATGGTAGGTGCACAGAAATAGACAACAATGAGGCAGACCAATTAGCCCAGAACAATTTCTGGTTTGAACCCAACCCTACCATTTACTAGCTGAATAACAAAGAACAAAATGTTGTACTTCTCTGTGCTGAGTTTCCTTATCTGTAAAATAGGAGTAATAATAGCACCTAACTCAGTTATTGTGAGGACTAAATGAGTTAATAGATGTAAAGAGGCTGGAAAGACTTGCGGAAGTCAAAGTTGCAATTGTCATCAACAACATCATTATTATCATTATTTTTTGCCATTGGGAACTGGATTTTCTGTAACTGTTCCATGAGCTTAATACAATCATGCACCCATGAAAATTGAAAAATGATTTATTTACGAAATTTAACAAGCTAGTCGTAAAATTACCTAGAAGAGGAAATACACAGATACACCAAGGGAATCTTGGGGGGGAAAAAAAAAAACACAAACAGGAGGCATTTACCTGTGTTTATCAAAACACACTATGAAAAATAATAATTAAAAATAAGTAATATTGGCATAAGACAGACAAATAGGCCAATGCCACAAAATAGTGAGTATGACAGAATATGAGAAAGGTAAAGTTTCAAATTATTTGGGGAAGAATGGTGTTTGGATAATTAGCTATCAATTTGGGCAAAAACTGAAGTTATATATACCCCACACTTTGACAAAAATGTATTCCAAATTCATGAAAAAGCTAAACATAAAAACAAAAAAATTAAGTGTTAAAGTGAAATGAATGTGAACATAATTATAAAATTGCCTCCAAAATTTAAAAACTGTATAAAAAATAAAAAACAAGGACAGACTGGAAGAAAATATCTGCAAAAGAAATGACAAAAGAGGGGCGCCTGGGTGGCTCAGTCGGTTGAGCGTCTGCCTTCGGCTCAGGTCATGATCCCAGGATCCTGGGATCAAGCCCCGCATCAGGCTCCCTGCTCAGCAGAGAACCTGCTTCTCCCTCTCTCTCTGCCTGCCGCTCTGCCTACTTGTGCTCTCTATCTCTGTTAAATAAATAAATAAAATATTTAAAAAAAAAGAAATGACAAGATTAGTATACAGAATATATAAGACCGTCTATAAATAAATGAGAAAAGATAAAAACATAAAAGTGAGCAAAGTATATAACAGACAAGTCACAGAAAGTAAAACGGCCAATAAATACCAGAAGACTCTCATCTCACTAATAACCAGGGAAATCAAAATCAGATTGAAACAGTAACATTTTCACATATCAGACTGACAAAAAATTGGGTTTGACAGTATCAAAGATCAGCATAAATGTGAGAAATAGGGAAGCTAAAAAATCTAGAGGAAGTATAAACAAGTACAGCATTTTTGGAAGGCAATTTGACAGATGTATTAACAAAATTTCACACACTTCAACCCAACAATTCTACTTCTCTGTATCTACCTTAGGGTCAGATTTATGTAGCATACAAGGAAGCAAGTTCAAGGACGTTTTTGGCAGGACTAGTTGTAAAGGCAAAAAAGAAAAAAATGGAAACAATCTAAATGCCATGAACAAGGTTTAGAAAAACTGACAGTGTAGCTTAGAAAACCTGATAAATTGACAGTGTGGAATATTATGCAGGGGTTTAAAAGAATTAAATAGATTTGCATGTTCTGATATGACAGGCCTTCAAATCTTTTCCAAGTTAACAACTATAAAAATACAGGCTAAAAAGGAAAATAAATGATTAATTGATGACAGCAAATTACCCTCCGGGAAAGAATCTGGGGTAAAGAGAAATGTGTTCAAGGGGGCCTTACAATACTTCATTTCTATTGTTTGACTCTTTTACAAGAAAATATTCATTTATATTTATGTAATTTTTGTACTGAAAAAAATTGAATACAAAAAAGTGCATACACACAGACGTATTTAAAGTAGATAGGAACAGGGCGCCTGGGTGGCTCAGTTGGTTAAGCCACTGCCTTCGGCTCAGGTCATGATCCTGGAGTCCCGGGATCGAGTCCCGCATCGGGCTCCCTGCTCGGCGGGGCGTCTGCTTCTCCCTCTGACCCTCACGCCTCTCATGTGCTTTCTCTCTCTCATTCTCTCTCTCTCAAATAAATAAAATCTTTAAAAAAAAAAAAAAAGTAGATAGGAACCGTATTCTTCTCCCCAATCCTATTCAACTTCAGAAGAATCCAAAAAAAAAAAAAAAAAAAAGACTCCAGCTACCTTCAATAGTTCAAGATATATCCAACTGAACTTTTCCCTATATTACTTAAAACTTTCATGTGTACAAGCAGTGCGTGCATACATTCTTATAAACGTGATAATATGTAGACACACGCACAGGCATATGCACACACAGACATAAGCCTGTTTCCAAAATGAGATGGCTATCAGAGCAAAAAATTACATACAGTAGGCAAACAGGTAAAGTGCAACATATCAAATAAAAGAAATATTCAGCTATCACAAACAACAGGGTTGTGGGTTGGGATTTGGGTACAAGTATTGCGGTAGGAGTGATCTTTTTTCTTGTTTTCTACAAGGACCATGTATTGTATCATGGCAATAAAACCTTTATTAAAAAAGTAAAAATCCAATGAGAGAATGTTTTCTGGAAAAAAAACTGAAGAATATAAAGTGTGAAACAAATATAGGGCTTCGCTATTGTCAGCACACATAAAACACCACGACAAGCTCACGTTTCATCGGTCGTCACTTACCAATCCCACTGTCATCTAACCGCATGTAGCCTTCCGCCAGTGAGCTGAAACCTGTTAAGCCTCCCATTGCCGCATAAGGAACATCCTGTCCCACTGGCTTGCCCTGAGCCAGTCTTTCTTGCTTAGTTTCCACCACTGTGTCATGAGCATACGCAGGCTGACCACAAGCACAAGTGAAGCAACTATGGAATCCTGAACACCTGGAACCTGAATCAAGATGTAAAGGGAGTTAAAGGTCTTTAAATATAGGTACTACAGTGTCTGCCCTAAAAATGCTCAGCTTGGCCACAATCACCTGGATCTGGATCCCTTATAGGCTGGCCTCTGGCCTCTAAAACTCTAGCCTCCAGCCCCCAAACTCCCTCCCAGCCACCGCTCTTCTGTAAGATGCTGAAGTGAGTAAGGTAAGATAAGGTATGTAGCGCGGGGAAAAAGCATCGGAAAAACCAACCAGGGCTAAAAGAAATTGCGCCAACACGGGAAAGCCAGGAAATGTAGGCCCTCTCCTCAAATACGGAGTTAAAAGCAGGTGTGGACAGCCCAGTGGTAGGACCGGGTGAAGAGATCATGTGGAGGCCTCCCTGTGGATTAAGGCCCCATAAAAGCCTTATAGGAAAGCCAACCCAGGACAGAGAAAGGACACAATGGAATAAATACTGTTTAACAATAAAGAGCAAAGAAGTACCAATACATGTTACAACACAAATGACTCATACAGACTTTATGCAAGTGAAAGCAGCCAGTTACAAAAGGCTACGTATTCTGTGATTCCATTTATATGAAATGTCTAGAATAGGCAAGTCCATATAGACAGGAAGTAATTATTGGTTGCCTAGGGCTGGGGAGAGGAAGGAATCAGGAATGACTACTAATAAATACGGAGTTTCTTTTGGGGGTGATGAAAATGTTCTAAAATTGACTGTGTGATGGTTGCATAATTCTATGAGTATATTAGAAAACCACTAAATTGTACCCCTGAAATGGATGAGTTATTTGGTATGGGAATTACATCTTAATAAAAGTGTTATATATTTGGGTGCCTGGGTGGCTCAGTTGGTTGGGCGACTGCCTTCAGCTCAGGTCATGATCCTGGAGTCCCAGGATCGAGTCCCGCATCGGGTTCCCTGCTCAGTGGGGAGTCTGCTTCTCCCTCTCCCGTTCCCCCTTCTCGTGCTCACTCTCTCTCTCTCTCTCAAATAAATAAATAAAATCTTTAAAAATATATATATATTGAAGTGGAGGCCAGAATACACCATTAACAAAATTTTACATACTCACACTTCTTAAAAAATGTGTATGGGAACAAAGGCACATAATAAGTTTTATCCAACTACTTCCATACTTAGCCAGTGAAATGCATTTATTCCTGCCACTGTCATTAAAAATGTTTTATAACATATTTCAATTCCTTTTGCTTTTCCCATCAGCCTATGTTTTAGGCAATAACATTATAATCTGCCAGCAAATTATAAAAACTTTTTTCAACTTATCAGATCAAAGAATTTAGTTGCTAAAATTCCCATTCAAAAATTTAAATCTGGGTCACCTGGCTGGCTCACTTAGTAGAGCATACAACTGTAAATCTCAAGGTTGTGAGTTCAAGCCCCCTGATGGGCATGGAGCCTATTTAAAAATAAATAAACTAAAATTTAAATCGAATCACGTCTAGGTATTCTTTAAAATCTATTAGTATCATTTAACCTATTTGAGTCACATGAGATTAGGGCTTATGAGTGCAAAACATACAAATAACTCAAGAGTTTTTCCGCGAAAATAACATTTTAGAGTGGTTGTCCCTTTCTGAGTTGTTTAATATTGACTACGCAGCTGAATAAAACTGGCACAAAGACGCATTAAATATCCAATACAGAAAGACAAACATTCTGTCGGTGTGTTTATAACAATGTAACTCACAGGCATTGCATAGAAAGCCGGGGGCAGCGCTGTGCTGATCCGCAAAGTGCTTGCACCTGCAGCGAATGGGCTGGGTGCCGTTCAGAGGGACGTAAAGGTACGCCCTGCACCCGCAGCCGCTCACTCGGCAAGGGAGACTAAGGGGGCGTTGCTGAGGAATCGTTTCAAAGTCAGTTTTATGTTGTTTATACCTAAAAAATAAATAAGATAAAAGAAACAAAAACAATGCAGGGATTGCTGGAAATTACAATCTCTATTCTGTTAAACGCAGAGTATTCTTCTTTATTTTTATTTTGCTGTTCTTGTTAGTAAGGCGAAAATAAACTCCCTTACACTCTTTCTGTCGCTCCGTCACAAATTGCTTTGGTCGGAAAAAACCTTCACTCTTTTAGATTTTTTAGTTATTTAAGAAGAATTTTCACAGCAATATACACAGAAATATAATTCCCTTTAAATACTTACCACTAAAGATTCTTTAATATGGAAGCACAACCTAAGAGTGTGGAAAAATTTCTTTAAAAAAATTATTTTTATCAAAGTACATTACTGAAATTTATTTTCATAGGTTTGCTATTTAAAACTGAAATGAGTTCAATAAACATACATGAATGTAATTTACTTCAATATAATTTAATTTTTAACTTTTAACTTCAAAATAAATTGTCAACATTTTTAAAAGCCAAAGCTCTCTGTTAAAACACTGTAATTTTCGGGGTGCCTGGGTGGCTCAGTTGGTTAAGCAACTGCCTTCGGCTCAGGTCACGATCCTGGAGTCCCGGGATTGAGTCCCGCATCGGGCTCCCTGCTCAGCGGGGAGTCTGCTTCTCCCTCTGACCCTCCTCCCTCTCATGCTCTCTGTCTCTCATTCTCTCTCAAATAAATAAATAAAATCTTTAAAAAAAATGGGTTATAATTAAAAAAAAAACACTGTAATTTTCTTAAATAGACCACTCACTTCCTGCTCTTACGGTGATACTCAATAAAATAATATTAAATTTACTATTCTTAATATTAATCTAGGTAGTACAAGTTAAAATAGCAATGAGATAGCATTTTTCACTTAGCAAAGAGAACCAACATTTTTTTTAAACTATACATAATTCACAATGCTGTCAAGAGTGTTATAGAAGGGGGCGCCTGGGTGGCTCAGTCGTTAAGCGTCTGCCTTCAGCTCAGGTCATGATCCCAGGGTCCTGGGATCGAGCCCCACATCGGGCTCCCTGCTCCGCGGGAAGCCTGCTTCTCCCTCTCCCACTCCCCCTGCTTGTGTTCCCTCTCTCGCTGTGTCTCTCTCTGTCAAATAAATAAATAAAATCTTAAAAAAAAAAAAAGAGTGTTATAGAAGGACCTTTCTCATTTAATGTTTCAAGAAACTTAAAAAGATCCATCCATACCTTCCATGGTTTATATAATTTCACATATAGCATTTCCTAATTTATATAATTGTCAAATCACTGTTACACACCTTAAACTAACATTATATATCAACTATACTTCAATAAAGATAAAAATAAAATCATCAAATTTAATAGTAATAAAAAAAATCCTTTAACCCAGAGTTCATTTTTCAAAAATATACCTCAAGAAAATAATTCTGTGTATAAAGAGTTGTGTGCATAAAGACAGTATCAGCAACAGTACTTACAATAGCAATACACACATACACAACATATTAATAAGGGAATGAATCAGTAAATCAATAGACAAGTTTTTAAAATTTCTAGCAGTGAAATCCCTCCTGCAAATAAAATCTCTTACAGAACTATAATATATAAAACAGTAAAAGCAGAATTGGTTAAAGCAAGGCAAAGAGCCAGAATTAGAGTCTGTCCTTCCTTGAACCTGCCCTTCCGTGGGGTACCACTGAGACTCCCTCACAGCTCTGGGGAACACACAATGAACACCACTGGACTAGCGAGAATATTGAGCAGGTATTAAAAATCTTATTTGTGGGGGCGCCTGGGTGGCTCAGTCAGCTGAGTGTCTGCCTTTGGCTCAGGTCATGATCCCAGGGTCCTAGGATGAGCCCTGCGTTGTCAGGCTCCCTACTGGGAGCCTGCTTCTCCCTCTCCTCCCAGCTTGTGCTCTCTCTCGCTATTTCTGTCTCTGTCTCTCTCTCTCTCTCTCAAATAAATAAATAAATAAAATCCTAAAAAAAAATCTTATTTGTGATTACCACATAACAATGTGGAAACATATTTCTGTGACTCCATCATTAAAAACTTGTTCAATATTTATACACACACATCATTTACAACCAAATGAACTATGTAAAGAAAAAATACATGAATATAGTAAAATGTATTGATAGTAGCTAGTTTTGGGTGGTGAGTTTTCTATTTTTCTATATATTCTTCATTTACCTTAATAATAATTATAATATTTATAATAGGGAAAAAATAATAGTTTAGACAGAGACCTCACTGAGTGACCAGTACTGAAGAACTTTTCCATGGAAGTTGGGTTGGGTTCATTTTGAAAATTAATTTCATGCTACATAACTATACATATATGAGACTGGCACTAAATTTGTACAAGAATAAATGATAAAACCAACACAAATTTACCAAACTCCTTTTGAACTCTGAAAGATCTCAACATAACCCTCATCCTCCATTCCTCCAAAGTGTTTTTAGTTGGGGTTGCTAAATAAGTTTCAAGTCAATCTATATACAACATTACTTATCCTAGCAACTGCTTAACAACCTTTGGCAGATGGCAAGTCTGTATGTAAATAGCAACCATACAAAGAGACTCTCATGAGAGAGCCCCAGAAACTATGAGAACAGGGCGGTTCTCCTTGCATGCTTTGTTTGGAACAGAAAGTTAAAAAGTTGTTACCTGAAAACACATAATAGATTCAGTGATTTTTCCAAGAAGCAGCTTTGTCCTTTTGAGCTTTACAACTGTGACCTGTGACAGCAGTAAAATGTAAAGTAGAACACAACAAACACAGCCAAATGCAAACCTCAGGTACAGGCAATATACATCAGTGACTGGAGCCTCCTGCATCTTCTTCCCTCCACATGCCTTACTTGGAAAAGGACCATTTGTAATAAGCTGTGTGCTTGTATTTTTGTTTGTTTAAAGAAAGGTATCAACACAACACGTTTCTTTTTTTTTTTTTTTAAGATTTTATTTATTTATTTGAGAGAGAGAATGAGATAGAACATGAGAGGGGGGAAGGTCAAAGGGAGAAGCAGACTCCCCGCTGAGCAGGGAGCCCGATGCGGGACCCGATCCCTGGACTCCAGGACCATGACCCAAGCTGAAGGCAGTCGCCTAACCAACTGAGCCACCCAGGTGTCCAACACAACACGTTTCTTAAAGTACAAAGGGAGATTAGTAAATTTAAGGAGAAATGCTTCTATTCGTAGACTGTTAACCTGTTCAGTGTGGGTCAACTCAAGCAACTCTTAAAGCAATTTTGCATTCTGGTGACCCACCCTTTACTAACTTATCCAGCCATGGGAGAAGTCGACCCCTGGCAAAGCTGCAGGGGCAGGCACCAAATGCAAAAGAAGAGATGCTTAGGGTGATGGACTCCATAAAGAGTTGTCATAGGATAGAAGAGAAATTTTTAATTATAGCAAAAAAATAAAACCACTTTAGACAATTTCTAGGGTATTATATAAAAGTCTACTTTTAAATATTTCACAATTATCACAAGTAATGTTATTTATAGAAGGAAGATACACTCTGATACAGTTTTATATTTTCTAATCACCAGAAAACTTAGCAATATCTTACCTATGTGTACAAAAACACAGTGTCTCTGGACCCACAAGCTTACAATCCATTCCAGTTGGTGATCGCCAGCTCACAAATAATCTGTTCTGTAAGCGCATAGGTAATACTTTTTTTTTGTATTCTTCATACTCTTCAGGAGTAAAAAGTTTCCCTCCATCGTCCTCACCGACAATTCTACAACAAAAACTTCTCTTAAGCCTTGAATATTTATTTTCCAGGTCAAAAATACTACACTCTAAAATTAAACTATACTTGTATAGTCAAAAGAAATGTTTCTTCAGATTTGATTTTTTACTTTAGGCTTATGTTAATAGCAAAATTACACACAATAGGAATAAAGCTTTTCTTTCCCAAGTAAAAGAGGATTCTAAATTAAATAAAAGTCAATGAACTCATGACATCTGACTTTATTGATCCAGGTTTACCACTGGACAATTACCACAAATTCAATCTCAGTTTCTCCTTTGATTCTGAAGCAAACATGCTCATTCTTTTCATTAAAAGCTAGAATCTAAACTGCTAAAAATTCTAATATTTTCCTCCTTTAAAAACAGTACTCCCCCCAAAAAACAACAGTGCAAAAAACATCAGTGCAGAAGACATGGGTAATGCGAACCCAAACCCTGGCCAGGAGCTTAAACCCACAAATACCCTTGGATCTGCACAAGCTCAAACCCATATCTATATTGAGTAATCATCCTTTAATTCCAAAACTTTGACTTCAAAGTTTTATGGGAAAAATTAAGCCACCAATATTGCTTAATTTCTGGAGAAATTAAGAATTGGCATCCCTGGAGAAAAGGAAGCACAAGTAAAAGAATTTGTTCAAAACTGAAGAAATTTCTCCTTGAAAATATCGCCCCTTAAAAGCCATGAAAAGATGTTGTTTGTAGACTGCTACTTAATTTTTTGTGCAATCCATACCTTTTTCCATACTTTCAAGCCTTTAGCTGAGATAGATAAATAAAACCAATTCAGAAGCTATGAAACCATCACAACCTTCTTCCTTAATTAAATAATTTAGATACACAATAGTTAAAAAAGGGGGGGGGGCATTTTATTCTGAGAAAAGTTTTGGATCATTTCACATTATAATAGCTACCATGTAGCGTATCAATAGGTACTGGAAAAAAAAAGATCAATGCAGGTCTTTAAAGATAGAGATCATTTATATTTGACTGCTAAACCAGCACAGCTCAAACTTTACAGTAGTTACAAATCCCCAAGGGATCTAGTTCAGATGCAGATTTAGGTTAATAGGTCTGGAGTGGGCCTGAGAGTGTGCATTTCTAACAAGCTCCCAGGTGTTGCCTACACAGCTGGTCCATGATTGCTACACTCTGAATAGCAAGGCTCTAACTTTTATAGTGAACTATTCCAGGTTATTTATATTTGCAAAAATAATTTTCCACCAGTCTTAACATTTCTGGACCAGGCAAGAGACCATAGCTGGAGGCCCACAATCCACATATCTAAATATCTAAAGATCTAAGTTATCAATCAACACCAAGGCCCAGCAACTTGCTCCCAGGGAAAAGCCCTGGAGCCCTGGAGCCTAAAGAAGCCGGCCCAGCCCTGGTGAGCACTGGGTGGAAACTGTTCTGGGCACGGGACTCATGGCCTTACCTGGACCAACCGGACCCGGGGATGAGGCCTGACCCATGAAGCTCCTCATTCTTACTTGTCTGGCTCAGAATTACCAACCATTTCTAGGTGCTCCCCAAAACTACACCACCGAGACAGTCAGAAGGAGTGACGGTCAGCTAAGGAAAACCGTTTGCCCTAACAACCCTGGGTGTTTTGGGGCGACCACCTTTAAGCCGAGCAACCCGTCTCGCTCAGGTTTTCAAGGCCGCTGGGATTTCCCAAGCAGCAGTGATTTACCTTACTTTCCGTGTATGTACACATATTATCCCCTCCCCCACCCCACCCCCGGCCAAACCGGCCCCCCCACCTCCTCCCGGACCCCGCCACCCCTGGCGCCCTCAACCCCACATCCTCCTGCTACAACCTCTTCAGGAATTCCTATTACCCAATCTCCCAACTGCCAAAAACCTTTCTTGGGAGACCGGAAAAAAAAAAAACCAAACACGTTTCCGCAGGTGCATCAGCCTTTGTCAGGGCCCAGGGCAGCGAGTCTCGTCCTCAATCCAAAGGGGCAGCTACGTTTCCATTTCCGTGAGAGGAGTTTCTCCGGAACCACCGAAACTACCCCAGTCTGTCTTTCTCCTAAAACCAGCACCTCGGGGTTGGGAGCATGTTTGGAAGTTCACGACATACCCTACTACTAAACTAACATGCAAATGACGTCCGCTATTTCTTCTAAGGCCCGAGTACTCACGATGTAACTCTCCAATGGCCATTTAGAAAAAACAGTTGGACCTCCACATAAATTTGAGAGTTAATAATCCGTCTTGGAAGGGGTCGAAGCGGGAGACCTCTTAAACAGCCTCGGAAGAGACTTATTAGAACTCCATGTCATTACAATATTTAATTACAAAAAGACGAAACTTAAATCAAGATAAGTAAGCCTCCCCCAGCCGCCCCCAGCCGCCTGGGGACAGATTCCGGGAGCCCCAGCCGGGCCCCTGTCCGCGCCCCCCGCCCCCCAGCCCCCGCACTCCTCCGGCAAGGGGGACGCGGCCCGCCGCAGCCTCACCTCCGATACTCCAGGTACTCGCCCACGGCCGCGGCGCCGCCGGAAGGCAAGGTCAGCCGCTCCATAGCCGCGGGAAACCAGAGGTGCCCGCCCCGCGCGCTGGCGAGCCGACCTCGGAGCAGCGAGACCCGCCCCGCCCCGCCCCGCCCCGCCCCGGCCGGTCGCGCCCCCTCCCGCCCGCCTCCCGATTGGCCGGCCCGGGGACGGCGGCGGACGCGCAGGGCGCGCGCTTCCACCTGGCAGCCGGCTCTGCGCCGGCGAAACCTTGCGTCTCCTAGTGCAGCGCACGCCGCTCGGATTGCTGTTTTCCGCAGGCGCAGACCTGGTGCCGCTTGCCTTTCCCGGGCTTCGCAGGTCTCCTTGAGAGGTAACAAGTGACAAGGGAGTGCAGTGCCTTGCATATCATGGACGCACAGAACATGGCTTATTTCTTTGTGCAGAGCTTTTCGCTGACTTTGTGGCCCGACTCGCCAGATTCCCCAGAAGTGTTTTCAATACTGGCGTTTAGAAGACTGCGTGTAGGGGCGCCTGGGTGGCTCAGTCGGTAAGCGTCTGCCTTCGGCTCAGGTCATGATCCCAGGGTCCTGGGATCGAGCCCCGCATCGGGCTCCCTGCTCAGTGGAAAGCCTGCTTCTCCCCCTCCCACTCCCCCTGCTTGTGTTCCCTCTCTCGCTGTGTCTCTCTCTGTCAAATAAATAAATAAAATCTTTAAAAAAAAAAAAAAAAAGACTGCGTGTAAAATCAGTAGCCCTGAGTGCCTCCAGTTTGGGTGGCACTAAAGCACCATGTTCTTCCAAGGAAGTGAATAGCGGGTTTAAGGGGAAACAAATAGAAACAATTTAGTTAAGATTTTTTACACCTTTGAAAATATTCTCCACAAAAATCTTTTTTAAAGATTTATTTATTTTAGAGAGAGAATACGGGGGAGGGGCAGAGGGAGGGAGAGAGAGAGAGTCTCAAGCAGAGTCCACACTGAAGCGTGGAACCCCATCCCGGTGGATCTCAGGACCCTGAGATCAGGACTTGAGCCAAAACCAAGAATGGAGGCTTAACCGACTGTACCACCCAGGTGCCCCAACATAAAATCTTTTTTAAAGCTGAATTACTATGGGATTGGCTTACCAACCCGGAAAAGGAGTAGGAAATCCATCACTACTCAAGGAGTCCCTAAACTCTGAGGCTCCCTACAGATCACCTTGAGGGCTCTCTACAAACTGTGAGAAATAATGGGCAAACAGTAAGAAAAATAATTCATTGAACTACAATACTTAATTTCAAAGTACTTTCCTGAACACTGTGTTTCAGGTCCCAAAGACAAGATATTATGTAGGCAAATTGTTTACATGCCCCCCCACACACACACTCCTTCCTTTTTAGTGCTCTTTTTTTTTTCCTTTCTAAAGTCGGTCCTCCTACTCAGGGAGGTCCCAGTCCCACTTTCACATCCTCACTAATTTTTGTTAATTACTCTCCACCAGAATGTTATCTCATAACTCAGCTTAACCAATAAAATTTGAAGTCTCCCAAACACTTTAGCATTTTATAGAGACAAAGAGCTTTCAACAGCCAGATAAAGGAGTGATCCTAAAATGGGGTTATTTTAGGAGAAGGAGCCCTACTCTCCCATCACACCTTGTGGGCTGCTGCTGCCAGTTTTATCTCTTTATGAGCACCCACCTCTGCTTTTTTTTTTTTTTTTCAAGTTTTACTTACTTAAGTAATCTTTCTACCCCACGTGGGGCTCGAACTCACAACCTGGAAATCAAGAGTCACATGCTCTTCCAAATGAGCCAGCCAGGCACCTCAACTGCCCCTGCTTTTAAGCAGCAGCTAAGCTAACAAATATAAATAGCAGAAAGTGCCAGGCTATGTAAGCATATAGAAAAGTGGCAGGGGAGTGTCTATGTAGACAAGTACGAGTTAATGAGTCTAGAGGGAAATAGTTAAAATAGACTCTGCAATTGTGGACTCTTCCAGGAAGATGCTGGGGCAGTAAACTCTGACCAAAGAAGTCAATGAAAATATGGAACATGACAAATAAGACTATGGAACAAAATAGAAAATGTTATTCTAAGCTTTTATGAAATTGGCACCTTTGCTAATTAAGATACTATATATGGTTTTGACCTCTGCTTTTAAAAAAAAAAATCATGGAACTATAATTACCTCCCAAAAGTTGCCTTAATTGATCTAGGAAATAAGATGGACAGAGGGACATGAAATAGGGACACTTGCCTTGGTAAGTATTAGATACTTTACAGATACAGTCCTCATAAAATAAGATAGGAATTATCAGCATTTTGCAGTGATGTCTAAGTTAAGGATGTTTTTTCTGCAAATAATAAAATAAACCAACTAACAGTGCTTAATTAAACATAGGGGTTTTTGTCATTGTTGTTAATCTAAAGAAATAAGTAGGCGGTTGCAGGCATTGGTTCAGGGCGTTTTCCCCGTCGTTGCAAGAGATTCTGAAATCATATCCAAATTCAAGAAAGAAAACAGGGGCAACCAACAT